AAACCCTGCAAAGCTTTTCACATTAGAAACTTTGCTTCTACTCACTTCACCAAAACCCAGTCTCCTGCAAATATGAGTTATGGTGTTACCCCAAACAGCTTGGTTCTCTTGGGCCTTACTTTTAAGAACTTCTAGGCAAGACCACAGTAGCATTTATTCCATGGCTAGTTATCCTCACTACTGAGGAAACACTCCTCTGAGTGGTCTACCAAAGCCCCATAAAGGTTGATGTTTCCAGTTTGGCTGGTGGGAACAGGCTCTCTTTCTCTCTCCTTTAATCCTTTCAAGGGGTCCTTTCCCTGGCCTGGAGTAGTGTCCTCACATGCACATGCAGATCAGTACTGTGCTGAATTCTCAAGGGTCACCCTACATAGATGTCAGATTTCTCTCCCTAGTCAGCTGTCTTCCAAAGCTGTCCTGCAAACACTAGCCACCTAGACTTCCTCATGTTCCCAACCACATCTTCTTAACTTAGGGTGCCCCCTGGGCTCTTTTTGGGTTCTTCTTCCCTGCTCCATATCCCCAAACTCTGTTAAGGCAGTAATCTTGGATAATGTAGGATTTACTTCATTTGTTTCCCAAGTCTTAGGAATCGCTATCTGTTCCCTGATATCCAGGCTTTAGAAACCATTGTTTCATAACTTTTGTACTTTTGGGTGGAGGGTGTTGTTTCAGGTGAAAGGATAAATCATTCTTGTTACTTATCTTGGCCACAAGGAGAAGTCTAGGTTATAGTGTTATTATTTGTTTGGTCCCAACTTGCTCCCTATTAAAGGCTTGTTGCAAACAGTATCCAGGAGCCTGCTCTCCATTTCTCTTGTCCCAAGCAAAGAATTGTAGGTTTTGTCCCTCACAATGTGTCACTTGGGCTTGAGACCTGGGTGCTGTTGGAGATATCCACCGGGGGACCCTCTGTCTCCATGGTCCTATACCACTAGTTAATCTTCAGAGCATTGACAGCCCTTCATCTCATCTCACTGTTAGAAATAACAGATGTCTCCTGGGTGTGTTGCTTCACATTTGCTTTTCATTCTCCTTTATTTTGAGGAGGAAACATCATGTTGCCTAAGCCTTCCCTCCATTTGATGCTGAGCTCTCCACCAGGTAAAGACTGTAGGTAGACATGCATACAGTTCCCTGCTCAAGGCATAGAGCCTGCACACTGGGAATTATTCAAGAGCATTTGCTAATGATAAAGAGGAATGCAAAGAATTCTGTAATGTCTGAGGAAGAATGAGGAAGAAGGTTATGATAAGTATACAGCAGAGCAAATGGTGGAGTTGAATAGACAGACCTACCACTTACTTGTTCCAATTTGAATAAAAGTCTAAATATATATAATTAAGTATTTTATACAGTCTATAAATGTTTTAATAACCATTCAGATTATAATGGCAAGATACAGGGCCAGTAGATAAAAGAAGAAGAAAGACATCTAGGAAAACAAAGCATAGAGAATGCAAACATGGCACACGATATTTGTTTGTATTTCTCAAAGCTCAGTAAGAGAAGCAGCTTTCCTCCTTGCTAACAGACGCCCCTTATCTTGGCTTCTATGAAGCATTCACTAATTGAAATAAAAATGAACCCAAACTTAGAAGAATGTGATAGTGCCAACTGTACTCAAAGAAAAAAATATAATTACTTAGTCACTCTAATTACACATGCAGAGTAAAGCAATTGCTTGCTATTTACTGGTATATGCCAAAAACAACTTAATATTAATAAATATTTGTGAGAAATTACTTGTTAAATTTTAATTACTTAACAAAAGCAATAAAATTACTTTTAATTAAAAAGTATGTACACCCATAAGTAAAATGACCCTTTGTATTCCAATATAGCAGCTTCTTTTAGAGCCGAAGGATAATGTTTCTGAGCCCTAAGTTATATACAAATCATGAGGGTGAAAAAAACACTAAATACCATATTGCCTATTCCCAATGGAAAATTAGGAAAGAAAATCACCAAAAGAAAAACATGAAGATTGAAATAGACCTTTTTTTTTTTTTTTTTTTTTTTTTTTTGAGATATTCTCTTCTTGTCTTATAAGGAACACTCTCTTTTTTTATTCTGGTAAAGTCAAATCCAAAGTTCTTTAGACTTCTAGGGCAATCTATAACTTTGATGTCCTGAATACTACTTCTCTGCTCTTACCACCATGCCAGTATCCAACAGGCTAACTCACTACAGTTCCTAGTGAATGAATTAATTGATATTTTCTTACTGGAAATTACAACCAATTTGTGGAAATTAGTACTAATGACTTTCTCAACAGACATAAATAGTTATGTGATTCTTAATAATTCCAACCACTAATCAGCTGTGGTTGGAAAGCAACAACTTGTGGGGTAAAGTGAGGGATTAGTACCCTGACCTTCTCCTCATATGTCTGGAGGAGAAGGTTAAATGAGGTAGCCTTACTTGGCCATCCCAGGAATCCTAGATTCTTCCAACATACCTAATATGGCTATAGCAAACCACATAATAGAGCAGTTTTCCTTATTTCTCATTCAGTTGTACAAAATTCTGCCCCAACTGGTAATATGCCAAGTCCCCCTTGTTATTAACACAGAAAACTCCTAGAATGGAATTATTCTAGTCCCCTGCATAAGTTTCATAACTAGGTTCTCTACTGAATTTTTAAGTTTCTGAAATCCTGAGTAAAAGTTTCCTTGAATCTCTTTCTTCTCAATGGAGCTTGCTGCCGCAGAGACTAGAATAGGCAATGAAGGGGAGCAAGGAAAGGACGTTCGCTAAAGCAGCCCTGTTTTCGGAGAAATGATTTACTAAATGACCTCCCTGGCCACAGTCCCCCAACTAATTTCAGTCAGAATAGGGGAGTAAGGTCAGACACCACCAACAAAGTACAACTGGAGTCATTCCTCTGATAACAGCATAATTAGCCCTGGAAAGGAGCACGTATCAGCCTGAAAAATTCATGAAGATTTGAATCTGCTGCCTAATTAGCCACAGTGGTTGATACAAGGGAAAAATAATAGCCCACAAGTAACAATGTCAAATTAGAGGCATTTGCTGGAACTTTCCATTGAATGGCTGAATCAATTGAAATATCCAAATGACCAGCTAAATACATGGAATTGGGCCCAGTAGAAAGTTTTTCTCTGATTATGCCATCACATTTGAGTAAGAGTGACTCACGAAGCATAAATTTAAGTGAAACCCACTGTCAAATGAGCTATATATGTGTATGCCATTGGAAATAATGATGTCAATTTCAAATAAATGTGAATCAAGAACAATAGGGAATAGAATGACTACACTCACAATTTCCCTAGACACTGGAAAAATGCATTCTTTCCAATTTTCCCACCAATGTATCAATCTCTCTTATCCATTAAAAAAAAAAAAAAAAAAAAAAAAAAAAAAAAAAAAACTTCACAAAACAAAATCTATGCCTAAATACTTTTAGTGAAATGTATAACTATATATCATAAACGTGTTCATTTTCTTAGATCTAAACCATTTTTACTCCTCTCCAAAATCTTTGTTGAAGGAGGAGAATAATAGCTCTTAGTAGACTTTATAGCTACCAAAAGCCTCAGGAACTTGGACAAGAGTTGACATAAAGCAGACTTCTTCCGTCCTTCTCTCTGTGTGAACATCCATGAACTGAGGAGGGAAGGGGACTTTTCTAGGAGAATTAAATATTTATAAGAATGCGTGGTTAATGGTGAATTAACTTTCCCTTTCCCACAGGGTATGGTACTAGATATGGTAAGACTCAGGGCCCTGGCATAAGTCTGATTGTACCTTTCACTTGAGATGTAAATGATTAAGAGGCATCAAAGAGCAGTGGGGAAAATCAGAGAAAATGAAATGAAGAACAGGCTACTTACCTCTTGTTCTAGGCTCTAGACTTTATAAAGGAGCAAAGGGAATTTTGAAGCTTCATTTTAGGTTTTCAGCACAACTCATCATAGTAAGAGGGAAAAATTCTGCCCAGGAAAAGAGAATATGCAAAGCTCAGTTTCTGGGAAAACTCAACCTTATGGTGGTTAGGTGACTACAGGTCACTAAAACCTAGAAAAGAAAACCATATATCGTTCTTAAATGATTGTAATTGCTAAAGATTCGTACTGAGTCGTAATTGACTTCCCTGTACAGCACCCCTACTGCTTATTGAAGAAAACATATTATGTATCTAGATCTATGTAGATAAAGATATAGGTAATATTTGTATATATTCTGTAATATGTGTTTACACACACACGCAAACACACACATATGCTAAGCTATGTGCTAAGTGATGAAAGGATCCAAGACCAAGAAATATGTGTAAGTTTAGCTGGATTCTTGAGCCCAGAAATCAAATTGTGTAGATAAGACATACATGTGAAGAATACCCAATAATGCAGTCCAAGAAAAAGTTCCCAGGTTGTAGGATGGATAGGAAGTGAAATAAAAAGTGATAGTGGAACATGATAACCTCAAATGTTTTATAAAGATATCTTGGAGGGTATCTAAAGACTGGTTCAATGAATTCGATGGAAAAAAAATGGTGAGGGCAGAGGATCAGCATGAGGAAAGCTGTCGAGGCAGTGTGTGAGCACTTCCTTGCAGATTAATGAATAACAGATCAGTGGTTGCCGAAATGAAAGTCAGACCTAAGTTGCACTTTGTACAAAACAATGAGAGGGCTGCCTGATCCTGTCTAGACCTTACCATCTTCTGACCTCCCACTGCTCCATTCAGGAGTGATTACGGCTCACTTGGTCATCAGAGGGAAGTAGGGGACAATGCACCACATGAGGCCAACATTTTGATCAAGGAATATGCTTGCATTTGGCATCCTGGATTGGTCAGAGTATGATGATGTTGGTTTACTTATATGTCTTGTGCCTGTCTTAGGCTCAGTGCTGACACCTCAAAAGACTGTTCTGCACACTTTCACTTGTGCCTCAGGCATTCCAAAGGGTTCTAATTGTTTCCACATTGTGACAATGTTGAAGTTCGCTTTTGATGAGTATTACCTATAATAATGTTGATATTTAACACATTTGCACGAAGACAAAATGATTCTTTCTTGGTTGCATTTTAGGAAATCCCAGGTCTCTGGCTGTGCCATCTGTTCAATACAAGGTGTAACTCCATGGCTTTGGGGTATTTGGGCCTCCCCCTGGTTATCTCTTGAATTAGAACCCATCTGTATGCCAATTCACGGCTGTGCTTTCCGTAGATCCAAGAATAGCTTTAGAGGAAAAGAGCAAAAACCAAAGCACTGGATCAGGTCCTTTGTTTTGTATGGATTCCACCAGCCAGTCTTCCCTATCCTGCTACAGATATTCTAAAGCTGAAATTTTAGCTTTTGTGTTGTTTCTTTGTGTATCGTTAGCAGTTCAAAGAAAGAACTAAGGAATAAAAACAAATAACTTTGTCAAAACAAATTCAACTCTGTTTTCATCAAACATTTTCATAAATATAAAAAGAGATTTTGATTAATGACCTCTAACAAATATAGTAACCACTATCTAAAAACAATAAAAGAAAGAAAAAGATCTCAGTTAGTCAAAAGCAAAGGAATGTGGTTATTTCTTAGTCTGTCATCGATGATGACTGGAAGAGTAGGCTAGTGGGAGTTGTTCTCAGGATGAGATCCAAGAAGACAAAAGTCTAAAATGGCTCAGGCTAAAACATAAAAAATCTTGACTGATCTGGATTGGCCAATATGGTTATAAAAATCTGGTAACAAAATAATCAGTTTAAAGTGTGACTCTTCCAAGAGCTTTTTGCCTATATCCAGCTCAAAGATAAAGCTCTTGAATCCTGAGGGCACCAGGAGGGACCCTAGAAAGCATAGTCTTAAATTAAAAAGGTATATTTTTCCTTAAGGCTTTGGTTTGGATTAAAATTGAAGTTGCCCTGGGATGTATCACTCTAAACTGACATTGACCGCGTTCATTTAGAGTGACTAAAGAATGTAAGAACAGGTTTTATTAAAGAAAAACAAAGCCAACAGAACTCAGAGGGTGAGAGTCCTTGGTTTTGGAAATCTGAAGCAGATGGAGAGGGAAACAGAGTGTAAGTGATACAGATTATGAAAGCTGGGACATTAAAAATGATGATAGCCAGAAAATGGCTTGTGCTTCCCTACACCCCAGTGATTGACGTGGGAAGGCTTGTTGACAGTGGGATGCCTGAAAGGTTAAGAGGAATGTCAGGGATTTCACATGTAGTTGGGCTACACAGACACTGTCTACTCCAGATGTAGCCACCGTGGCTAACAAAGCCTTCCTTTTATTTGCCTTCTCCCACCCTGTAAGAAATGGTGAAAATGTTATTATCCTAAAGGTTCAAGACCTGTGGACTTCTGTGGTATAAAAATGATAGGCTTGCTTCCCAGGAAATGCAGAATGAGGCTTGGACATGCGTTTCACATGCATGATGTTCTATTTTCTTTCTAAAAAGCATATAAAGAAAATCTGACCATCAAGGAGTCAAACTTCTTAGCATGTCTTCCCATTCAAGTGTCATGCAGCATAAATGCACATTTCCTTCTAAGGCCACGTCACTATTTTATATTCCACGAAACTGTACTTGGGGGCAGGGAGGAGCGGGAGGGAGAAACAAAGAGGGTCAAATATAATCAAATGAGATAAAGAATAAAGATGGGGATATGAGTGACATTGACAAAATACAATAAAGGCTGGTCTAGAAGTCAAGAAAGAAGGTCCTGGTACTAACACCAATAGGTCTGTTAAAATGATGCCTTTCATGGTCTTCTTCAATGTTGCCAATAATAAGGAAGGAAGACTGGAGGAAAAGGACACCATCACCTGTCACCTTCAGCTTCATCAAGGCACCTTCTGCCGGTGGCCTGACCTGTCTCTAGCTTTGAGACCTTCTGCAGTCTGGCCTGACCTGTCTCTAGCCTACCCTCCTGTTGTGTTTGACAAGTGTCCCATGCTGCTCTCCCTCGCTCATGCTATCCCCTCCCTTGAAACCTCCTTCTTCTGATCTCTACTTTCCTCCATTCTGTGTATGCTTCACCACCTACCCCACAAGGCTCCTCCGTGATGAAACTCTCACTGCTCTTCCAACCAAGTGTGATGTCTCCAACTCTGAACAACGAGGGATGTTTCCTCAGACCACACTTCCAACACTTAATACATTTTGTCTTAGTTGATCCAAAATTATTTATGGAACATAGACTATGTGCCACACACTGTTTAGGTACTATTCTCTGCTTTTATGGAGTTTAACATTATTTTTTTATCCTATGTCCCTAGAAGTTCCTTAAAGGAGAGATCATTTCATCCATCTTTGGGTATTCTGCCTATCCACTGTGCATAGAAGGGGCTTAGTAAGTCTCTTAAATCTAATGCAACATAATTCTAACAGCAAATCCTTTCTTCTTTCCTTGAAGGATTTCATTCTGTAACAGTCCTTGGTTCTGTTAGCATGAGTGGTTCCCTGTCTCTAACCAGGAGAGTATCCTTTTTTCTTAGGAGAGCAAACAGGTGCAATATATGCCGGGGATGTTGAGAAGCTCCTTCTGGCTGGAGCACTTTTGTAAAGGTTCAGGAATTTGTTTTGAGGTTTTGTGTTTATTTGCCTCACATTCCATAGATTCTCTAAGGCATCCACTCCACCCCACAACATTGACAAATGTAACAAAGGGAAATTTTTCCCAATACTGAGGGCAAAAACTACTGGTTTGCAGCATTGTCATTCGACCACTCCCAGGAGTTTCCCTGGAGCATTGTCTTCCAGACCAAAAGACTCTAGTCTACACTGGCCAGTAAAAATGGGAGCCATGAACTGACTGGGATCTCCGGAAGGGTAGAGACCATTTCAATTATATTCAAGTGTACAGCCTAGGTTTGAGGAATTGCACCTGTGAGATCTTCAGTGAGTATTTAATACATGAATGAATAAAAGGATGATTAAGTCCAACTTTGGCAAATACTGGCAAGACTATGCTGGAACAGGATCATCAACCAGAACACAGCGACCTTGGCCAACTTCCAGATTCTCTACGATGTTGATATTTGCTGATTTCACTCAATGCACCCCTATCTTTACTGTCTGTCTGTCTGCTCTCTAGAAGTTTGTCATGAAGGAAGAAACTGCGCCATTTGTCAGTTAGCCCCACCATAGCTCTTCGTGCAGAGCTGGGCACATAGAGATAGGCTGAAACGAACAAGAGGAAACAGTTCTTGTGAGACTGCATGTGGCCCAGCTACTCTACAAAATCTCTCAGACCCTTAATATCCTGAAACGCATCAGCTGTGTCTTTCTAATAGTGTGTAGCCCCAGGTATCAATTGCCCTTTCTTCAGGAAGACATTTTTTAAAATCACATTTTCTCCAGACTCCAAAAATAATATCTATTCACACCCACAACAAACAAACAAAGAAATACCTCAGAAAAGACAGAGGACACACACACAAAAATTTAAAATTAACCATTATATATCATGTTTTCATGGAAACAAACATTGGCCTCTTTCTTTCATCTTTTGTTACAAGTATAAAAATACAAATACAAAAACATACAAATGTAAGTAACACATAATTAACATGGGGTGAAATATAAACAAGCCATATGTTGTCTTTAGTTGGTCCTCCTCCAACTCTAAGATTATGCTTAACAATGAACTCTGATTCTGACCTGTCTCCAAAATCCAGAATGTAAATCTTTAAAATTCACCTCGTAGAAACAATTTATGATTCCTAGCATTTGACTTGGCCTATTAATTAAAACACTCTTTGGAAACTTGAACTTGGCATTAAGCATTACTCTATTTCCCATAGATGCTTTTCTTGCATAAGTTCTTACGAATTTTTAGATCAATGAATGAATATTTTAACAATCTTATTTTCTGCAATTCAAGAAATTGGATCTTGATGATAGAGTAGGAACCTGGATGGCAACCAGGAGTCAGGCGGGAGCAGCTCACCATGCAAGCTGCTATATTACCTCACTGCTCCAAAGCTACAATGGTCATGACTGCCAAACACACGGTGTTGGCCACATGCATGCTGAGCCCTTCATGAAGAAATGTCACTCCAGCAGGAATAAAACACAAAGCACGCTTCCTTTGCTTGGATTTTAAAACTATTTTTTCTTGTACAACATTTTTTCTTAGAGGAAATTTTCCAAGTTCATCTGATCAAATTGTGGCTGATTACCTTGGCTATTATAAGCATCAGTTCTGGTAACATGAACTTCTTTCCAAAAATAAAGCAGGTGATATCTTCCCAGTCCCAGTTGTTAGCACAAATACTCCCCCCCCCCACACACACACACAGATTTATAGGAAAATCAATTCTCTAGGAAGATGGATTGGGGACCCAATGATGGTCTCTTACAGAAAGCAAGACAGGCCTAATTCACTTCACTAGATTTGTCCAAAAGCAAAGTATTTGGAATTCAGGGAGGTTGGAATTAATAAAAAATGATTTGAATAACTAGTGAGGTAAATTAGGTATGCTAACAATGGGTCAAAACCCATTAACAAGGACTGTTTGTTAACAAAAATATCACTGTGAAGTGTGGGAACTAGACAGGTCAGTTGTAACTAGACATGGTCAGAGATTGCTGCCAGGCAGAGGAAAACAAATTTTTCAGAAAGATGCCAAGTGGAGTTAAAGCAGCTAATGGACCAGGTTATTCAAAAGGTACATGATCTCCACCACCCAAGAGAGAAATGCAAAATAAAATGGGCAATATTGGGTTGTACACTCATACAAAAAGGTCAAAGAGAATTGTGCAAAAATAATACCCATTTGGCTTTGTAGCATTTCTTCCTGTAGAATTATCCCTTAAACAAAAATTTTCATTTGTTGATTCTTAAAATGAAATCAACATTACTAAGACCTTTCTACTATGTTCCTCTTCATGCTTACTATATAAGACATTGAATATTTTTAATGTTTTTTAATTGATCAGTGCTTACGGGGATAAGGAAAGTCCAGTTTCATATTCAAATTTTTATGAATATTTCATTCTTGTGTTATAAACTGCAGTATATTATAGTATTCATGATTTTCCCTCATGCGCATCATGTGACTTTTACAATCAAAATAAAAAAGGGAAAGTAGGAATCTTAAAATAATTTAAGAAGTTCTTGGTATTCACTTAAGTAAATTCTTTTAATTGTTTGGGACTTCAATAGTTGTATAGATCTGGGGTGATACCCACCCTGTTCTGTGTATGTTATATGTATATTATGATTGAGAAAGACACTATATGTGAAAGAACTGAAAAAATGTCAAACCACTATGTACGGTCACTGAAAGTATTACCATCATTATCATCAAGGAAGATAAGCACCCCAATGCAAAGCAAGTTGTTAAAAAAAAAAAAATCACTTCTCACACTTGTCGCTTCTGTGCTAGAAGCCTAGCAGACACCTAAATCTATTCACCCTAAGGACATGTGCCACGTCCCCAACACTTGTCACCCAAAACCCCCGCACCAAGACCAAGCTACCGGTGCCTGTTGCTGTTGTTTTTCATGAGAGCAGCATGAATATCTGTGGTCTTTGTCTCCTTTCCAAGGTAAGCAATTGCATTATGCTGACTGGATATGACGCCCTGCTTCACCTCCTCTGGGGAACCATGTTTTCTTGGAAGACTGTTAATTGGTGCCCTGCAGCTGACCACCAACAGAGCTGTAAGTTGGCAACTGGAACACTTTGTGCTGTAGTTTAGCTTCCACTAAAGTGAGGGCAGAAAGGCATGACCCCCTTCATGGTGAAAGGAGGGTGGAGGCGGATGGTGAATGAATGACCAATGGGTCAACGTCTTGAATGAGTACCTGTCTTGTGCCTCATGTGGAGGTTGAAAGTACAGGAAAAGACACAGCCCTGTCCTTCAAGACCTATACAATCCAGTTGAGATGATGAGTACAAAAGATATGAAAAATAAAAACAAGTATAAGATTTTATCCTCACGAGCAGACTCAGATGGCATAAAAAAAAACCAGATGGTAAAGGAGTCTAGAAAAAGTAAGCTGAAGGTTGCAATGATAAAGGAAGTTCACAGAGGGAGCTGAGCTTGGGCTGTGCCTTAAAAGGACAGGTGGACTACCTGGATGTGTGGAGGTTAGCGTGGGAAGTGAGGATGCTGAGCCACACAGCAGGTGGACTGCGTGGGGAATAGTGGGAGAATGGAAGGCCTTGACATATCTTGTCAGAGGAGTTTAGACTCAGTGCAGCTAGAAGGAGAGACCCACTAGAGATTTTGAGCTGGGAATAGCCTGACAATATAAAACAGCTGAAAATACAAAACAGCAATCAGTTTGGGGCTCTCCCCTTGGGCACAGAGAACTGAGGGATTAATTCAGGTATGACAGACTGAATATTTTCCATGGCCTCTGAAGTATACCCAACATCTCCGATCCACAGCCCCCGCAACCCTGCATCCAGGGCAGGCGTGCGTCCAGGCCCCAGCCATAAGAAAGGGCTCGTTCCAGAGCAAGTTGTTGAAGAGAAAGAATGCTGTGAATATTTAAAACAATTATTAGGGGTCATGGTTATGTCCCAAATTAGGCACACCTATACTGGTTGAAAATTTAAAAAACAACCCTGTTCAGAATTTGAGATAATTAACACAGAGCCGACAAACTTTTGCCTTTGTGAAAGGCACAGTGGCTAAAAGCACAGATTTCAGAGCCAAAGCATGTGGGTTTGACCCTTAGTTCTGCCACTCACTAGCTGTGTGACCTTGGATAAATTTCTTAGCCTCCCTGAGCCTTGGTTCCCCATTTATAAAATGGACATGATTAGAGTACCTGTCTTATGGGTATAAGAATTAAGTGAACTGATATTTGTAAATCACTTAAAACAGCAAAAGTTAAGTACATAGAATATGTTAATAAATATTTGTTAATAATAAATAAAAAACAATTAATTTGAAAAATAGCCAAATTTTCTTAAGTATTAAGGTGTCATAGTTTTTTTTTAACCCACTGAAGAGAAGCAAATATTTTAAGAATTTTATAGCATTGATTATAGCAGTTATCTCAACGTGGGTGAGTGGGGAGGATTAATGAGGATTTTGCTCCCCCCGCCAGAGACATTTGGCAATGTCTGGAGATATTTTTGGTTGTCACACCTGTGGGGTAGAGGCATAGAAGAAGTGGGAGCCACCATCACCTAGTGGGCAGAGACCAGGGATGCTTTTAAACATCCTGCAATACACAGGACAGCTTCCACAGAGTAAAGAATTATTCTGCCCAAAGTGTTAAAAGTGTTGAGGTTTAGAAACCCTGGATTATAATTTGTAGATATTGCTGTTCATTACAAACAAGAAGACATCATGAAAAACAGCATATCAGAGTGGGAACGAAAAGAAAGTCTTGGCCAGGCATGGTGGCTCATACCTGTAATACCAGCACTTTCAGGGCCAAGCCAGGAGGTTCGCTTGAGGTTGGGAGTTCAAGACCAGCCTGGTCAACATAGCTAGATCTCATCGCTACAGAAAATTTAAAAAATAAACCAGGCATGGTGGCATGTTCCTATAGCTCCAGCTACTCCAGAGGCTGAGGCCAGAGGATCATATGAGCCCAAGAGTTCAAGGTTGCAGTGAGCTATGACTACAACTGCACTTCAGCCTGGGTGACAGAGCAAGACTCTGTCTCTTAAGAAAAAAAAAAAAAAAAGGAAGGAAGGAAGGAAGGAAGGAAGGAAGGAAGGAAGGAAAGTCCTGAATCCATCCTCTAATGCATTTTTTGTACTCTCTACAGTCCTCTGCTAACCCATTTTCCTACTTGAATCACTGATTAAAGTTTCCTATTGTAAGTTCTAAATCATGATATAATAAACAAAGAGTGAAAATTGGGGAAATATTTTCTTAATTCCATCGAATAGTATGTGCTAACATCAACATATCCATCTTTGTGCCAAATGGAATGTTTTCTAGAGAAGGAATGGAATTTCATTCCACAGGGAACATTCTCTCTAGTTGAGGAAAGAAGAGCCACTTTTAGGAAACTGTTAGGGAGCCTCATACAGTTGTGTGGGAGTGAGATTGAGAATATAGCTTGAGACCACAAGTGCCTTGACTAGTCCTGGAAGGAAGAAGTTAGCGTCGCTATAGATTTTGTGAAGGCTTGGCAGGGGCTATCAAGTCCAACTTAAGCTTGAGACATGAATATGATTTTGACGGATGAAGGAAAAGCACTCTCTTGGATAGTACTGGATTGGCAAAAGTGTGGTGGTGGGAATATTCACGTGCCCAGAGAACAGTGAAGAATTCTCTGGAGAGACTATTTCAGGGGCTGGAGGTGGGGGAAACTTGATGAGAACAGGAAATAAGTTTCAATAAAGATGAAGCAAGTGAAGGCATTTAGCTGCCTCCCTTAGGTTATGGGAAAATATGTGTTTAAGTTCTTCATACATGAAAACAACAGAAAGGAAAAGGAATTTAAAAAGGCTGGAATATATCAGCATGCAGGTAGACTTCAGCAAGGAAAGAACAGAGACAGATCCTGCTTCCTGCCCTCACTATGAGGTGAGGAAAAGGGCCTTCTGCCCCGGACACCAATGCATAAAGCTCAAGCTGCTAAATCAGTTGTGCTTCCTGGGAAAGGTGTTGTTTAACCTAGCAACAGTTTTTGAGTTTGTACACATTTGCATGCCGAGATGTGCCACCACACAGTGCCATTTACAAACACCACCACGAGACCAGCCTTTAGCTTGGGGGGTGGTATTCATGTTTACTTAGCTATTTGGGTTTCTTTCTTTTTACTTTTTTTTTTCTTGGTTACTAAATTATACATGTAAATCAATATGTATCTTGAATTTACATACCAAATGCAAATGGTGTGACTGTCACTTTTCCTCCTGTTCCATATTTGTTCTCTGCAGAATGAATACCATATGCACCTTCACTGAATCACTCTGGGCCTTTGCCCTTCTTGCTTCTCAGAAAATCATCATGGATGAAATGGAAAGAAGAGTTCTGCAGGTCACTCCAATTCCAAACAGCCAACAGTGAGGCCTTACTGTGCATAGCCTAACAGGAGGAGTTCAAAAATGGACAGTTAATGCAAATTGAGGAAGCGTGGCTGGACAATAGGAGGTGGTGGCAGCTGCTGCAAACTGGAATATGAATGCCTTACTTAAAGATAATACGTTTAAGAAGAAAACTAATCCTGCTGGGAAAGGGCCTGAAAGCTACTTATTGACTACCACTCTCATGCAACGCATGTGCCAGCAGTCAAGGTGTAGGTCTCAGGCCATAATCTCTAAGGAGTGCTTCCCCTGTGCCCCAATGCCTTTGTCAAGAATAAACCCTGGCACTCATAGGAGGTCACTGACATTTATCTGTAGTCCCAGACTCCTAATATGATTGCTCCCTTTTTCTGGGCTGACCTGCAATCTTTGAAGGGCCAGTGACCCAGCCCATCTCTCCAGGCAGGGCCTGGAAATTTTCTTATCACCTTCCAACCTACCCACATTGACTTTCAGACACATTGGCTCATTTATCCCCCTGATTACTGACCCAATGGTTATAACCCAAGCTCCACCCAGAAATCGCCCTTAAGAAATCATGCTCCATCATTAATTTAAAGAAAAAATCAAACAGACTGTAAGACAAGGGTCCCGAACCTATGGTGAGTTGTATAATTATTTCATTATATGTTACAATGTAATAATAATAAGTAAAGTGCATAATAAATGTAATGTGCTTGAATCATTCTGAAAGCATCCCACCCCATCCCCTGCCTCAGTCCATGGAAAAATTGTCTTCCATGAAAATGGTCCTTGGTGCCAAAACAGTTGGGGACTGCTGCTCTAAGACATGTTTCTGGGGAAAGTTTGGAGCAGAAAAGACAATTAGCTTCCTCTGGTATCCTCTTGTAATTCCACCTCTGAAATTTCACCCTATTTCTGACATTGTAAAATAATTTCTGCTATTAACTACATAAAATGGGCAAGATTAATTCTGAGGTTTTTTAAAAAATTAAATTTGAGTTTGAGCCTTTTCACCAAAACTCATTGCATTTTTTCTTTGTCAGTTCAATACAGTTTCTCATTAAGAGCTATCAAATTCAGTGAAGGTATTAACTTCTTATGGTTCAACTTTCCTGAAATTTAGTGTCTTCTCCTTCTCAATGAACTTTGCTAACTGCATGCATAGAGTTGTCATTCAACCATAGTTACATCGAATGGATGCATTTCAGGTCTTTTGTATCTAAGACAGTAGCAATAAGACTTTAATAATTTCCAAATGGAAACAAAGTTCTCCAATTTTTGACAGCAGTGGAATCTCCTATCCTCCCATATAACTGGCAGGAAAAGCTCCACTCCTTTCATTCTGATCTTTCCCTACTTATATATTGAAGAGATTCTTTGGGAATCCAATTATATTTGAAGTGCAATGGCTAAGTTCAAAGTCTGAAAGATTTCAAAATTCTCACCACTACCTTCAAGAATAAGAGTTAAGAAGACCCCAAAGGCAATCACAGCAGCAACAAAAATAAATAAATGGAACCTGATCAAATTAAAAAGCTTCTGCACAGCCAAAGAAACTGTCAAGAGAGCAAACAGACAACCCACAGAATGGGAGAAAATTTTCACAAGCTACACATCCGATAAAGGGCTGATAACTAGAATTTATTTAGAACTCAGGAAAATCAGCAAGGAAAAATCAAACAACCCTATTAAAAAGTGGGCAAAGGACATGAACAGAAATTTTTCAAAAGAAGACAGAATAATGGCCAACAAACATATGAAAAAATGCTCAACATCTCTAATCATCAGGGAAATGCAAATCAAAACTGCAATGAAATATCACTTATCTCCAGTAAGAATGGCCTCTATCAAAAAGTCCCAAAACAATAAATGTTGGCATGGATACAGAGAGATAGGAACACTCCTACACTGCTGGTGGGACTGCAAACTAGTACAACCTCTGTGGAAAGCAATATGGAGATAGCTTAAAGCTATCAAGTAGATCTACCATTTGATCCAGCAATTCCACTATTGGGCATCTACCCAAAAGATCAAAAGTCACTTTATGAAAAAGACTCCTGCACTCGAATATTTATAGCAGCACAATTCACACTTGCAAAGTTGTGGAAACAACTCAAGTGCCCATCAAAACATGAATGGATTAATAAAATGTGGTATATGTACACCATGGAGTACTATTCAGCTTTAAGAAACAATGGTGATACAGCACCTCTTGTATTTCCCTGGATGGAGCTGGAACCCATTCTACTAAGCGAAGTATCTCAAGAATGGAAAAACAAGCACCACATGTACTCACCAGCAAATTGGTATTAACGGATCAACACCTAAGTGGATATATAGGAGTAACATTTATCGGGTGTCGGGCAGGTGGGAGGGAGGAGGAGGGGATGGGTATATACAAACATAATGAGTGAGATATGCAACGTTTGGGGGCTGGTCACGCTTGAGGCTCTGACTCGAGGGGGGAAGGGAGGTATGGGCAATATACGTAACCTTAACATTTGTATCCCCATAATATGCTGAAAAAAACAATAAAACATAAAAAAAGAATAAGAATTAATGCTCAGAATACCCTAAAATAACTTGAGCTATGTTTATTTAATTTACTTCCTCCATACCCACAGGCACATATATCACTTTTTTGTGTGTGTACTAGGAGAGAAAGCAAACCAATGTACACTGTAATGGAACCACTAATGAGCTGATGCTATCCACTGGCCTCTTTAAAATGCTGTTCCCTTCCTGTTTTGCATTTGTTGGGTTATAATTTTAAATTACCTAAGCATCCCTATCTCCTCTTCATCCCTCCTCTCCAGTGCTTTCCTTTCTGCCTTTCTTTTTTACTGCAATCTGAGAATCACACTTTTGTTTTTGAGAATTGATACAGATTCACACTTTTACATGCACACAAACACATACATACACGCACACAAAGACCTCACTTTGGGACCACCTAATTTTAGATTTTAGGTTGAAACAGGCATGTATATGTGCACAAACTTTCCTTCTGGCATATGTGCACATACACTCATCCTCGGTCTCACTTCTTCTAAGTAATATCTTCAGCTTCAATTCCCTGACATTCTCATTCTTCATTTCATAAGGATTGTTTTCTAAAAGGTAGCTTTTTGGTTTGTTAGCTTGTGTGTTTGTTTCAACAAAATCTTCGATTTCTGGTGAGTGTACGTGGATGCAGCTTCCTAATACGGGAAGAGGAAAAGTTGATGATGGGTTGGCAAGAAAGAGTAATATTTTATGGATAGGGTGAGCATATGTCCAGCATCCCCAGAGCAAGTCTGGTCTTCAACCACTGTCTGTTATAATTATTAGTAGCACACTTTTTACTCACAGTAGTTTCTTGGCTCAGTCCATAAATCATATGGTCATAGTTATGCCCAGTGCTTATGCACAGTGTAATTACTATTACTGATGAAATGTGCTTGCTGAAAATGTACAGTGCACAAAGATGAAGAAGCTCTAGATTTTCTTTATAGTGAGGAGAACATTTCAGAAGGGCCGATTCTGGTCCTACTTGAGGAGCAATCCAGTCATCCCTATGTTCCACACCCAATAGCTCCCCTTGTTGAAGCCAGCCTCTGGCTCTGCCAATTACGCCTGTACACCAGGGCCTCTGGCCTCTGGCTGGCCTCCGACTTTCCTATTTTGTCTCCAACTTTGCTACTCATAACCACAGTCTACCAGAATGTGGTGAAAAATCCTTCAGTCTAACACCAAATTCAAATAGCATAAGAGACTTTTCCAGATTCAGAGCTGTACTCAGTAACAGAATGAAGATTTGGACCTAAGACTCTAGACCTCAGGTGTAGTGGTGGTTCTATCACCTTATGAGAACTTAATCTTAGGTAGTTCTCTTAGGTTATATAACCCACTAAAATGATGCCTTCTATATTTGAACCTGCTCATACTACTTCTCCATTGTGTCTCCCTACTAGTCAATAGAGGTTCGCTGAGGGCCCTGCTGTGTCAAAGTTGTGGACCTCAGCCAGAGGGGTGTGGGAAAGGGAGGTGTGGGTCTGGGAGGGGTGGTTATCACCCAACAGAAATCAGAATGTAGGAAGAGAATATTGAGATGAACAGAATATTTACTCCCCAAGGCCTAGCTCATACCTCCTTCTTGTATTTGGCCATTCAGACCACAGAAAACTCATGCTCTGCTAAACTCAAAGTACTATAGCTGGTCTGCAGCTCTCATCCAGCAATGAGCACAAGGGTAGCAACCTCTCTTATATTTTTTGTCATTTTCATGTGTTAATGTGGCTCACCAGGTGCACTGTAAACTCCTCAAGAGCAGGTATGGGTCACCCTTTCAGCACTTAGCAAAGGGTTGGGCCTTTGGAAGTTGTGGAGTGGGTTTGGACTGACTAAACTGTTGGGATGAAACCCTGACATGGTATACTTTAGTAAGTTCATAATAGCTTTGATGCAGTGGCACTGTCACCTAAGTCAGTTTCTTTGCCATTGAGCAGGTGTGTAAAACCTCCTTTAGACTCTCAACATTGTGAGTTGCATCAGACATCGGGGTTGGGGAGAGGGAAGACTTTACAGATTGTTGACCTCAAATGCTTTGCTTTACAGATAAGCGACAGGCTGACGATGGGAAGTGATTTGCTCACAGTTGCACCGCAAGTTGGTAGCAGAACTGGATCCGAAGATGCACACCAATGTCCTCCCTCTCCTGCATCTCCCCTGCAAGCCCTGCCCAGCCTTCGGGAAAGAGACTGTGAGGCAGAATATTGATTTCCTAGTCAGGGAGTTTTTGATTTGGCCGTGAAATAGAGGCTTGTGCTCCCATGATATTGCTTGATTTTTTTTTTCCTTGTCATTTTGTAACTATTTGGATTTTTTTTTTTTTTGAAGTCATCTCCAGACCTGTAATCTCCCAAACAGCTTGTCCACAATCACTCTCTGCTCTCCCCAGGAGGGCATCATCTGTGGAGTGGCTGCCAAAAATCAAGAATGTTCTTCACAACGTGCCCCACCAGGATGGATCTCCAGATGGACAGTCCCACTCCTGGCACTCTCCTTTGGGGTCTCACTGCATCTTTCTCTGGTCACTGGGGTGTCACTCAGCTTTGCATTTGTCGACTTTAGTTCCCTCCTCCCTCTCCTCCTTTCTGTTACCTTCTTTCCTCTCTCTCCCCTTAAGCAGACATTTGTGCTCAAGCTTCCTACCCTGTCTGGCCACAGTCTTTTCACTGTCCTGCCCTTGGCCTTACAGGTCTAAGACTCAAGGCCCTTCCATACCACCTAAGAAGTTCCTTCTCAGGAAATCTCCTATAAACGATCAGATAGACTATCTGACTTTTGCTTTTTTGTTTAATTGCTTTGTATAACATTTGGCAAATACTATACTATTCTGATACATAATTTGGAGTGCACTGCTTATAGCATATGTGGTCCTTTTTTACAAAAACTATTTAGATTATCAGTCTAGAGGTCCATATCACAACCCTGTATTACAGTATTGTACTTAAGGGGAAATCAGATTAAATTTTGACTCACAATGCCTCAGGAATGTGGTTTGCATACTACTTTTATTTTCTGTAAAATATGCTATTGCAGCACAAAAATTCTGACATGAGCCAGCACTCTGGGCAAGGTGAGATATGAAATTTAAAAGTTAAAGAGAAAAAACAAAGTGGTGTCTTATTAAAGAGGAGGAAAAAGGAAGTAAAAAGAGAGGCTATTTTTTTTTTTTTCAAATTAGCCATTCATTATTACAAAGAGGAAATAGAGAAACTCTCTTCTGCAAGGTGCCCAGCCTGTCTTCACAAGGTCCTGGGTGTCCTTCCCACCAGAATCAGGCCTCAGCTGTGCATGCAGTTCCCACCCTGGGGCCCTTATTAGCTGTGAGGCACAAAAGGCAGGTCTTGTTCTTTCTTCTGCTTACTCCAAGCATATCAAATTCATCCCTTCCCTCTTCCCCTGAAGTTACTTTCTCAGTCTCTGTTTACATTTCCCCCCCACCCCCACCACCAGGTTGAAAGATGTAGGTGTCCTGAATAACTGAGTGGAAGCCCTTCTTTCCTCTTCCCCTGTCCCCCAGAGTCATAAGGATTCCTCACTGCCAGATCTCAGGGCCTTTGGGCAGTTGTTGCTGGCTTGCTGGGGGAAAGATGATACTGGTGCATTTGGCCTATTTCCATTAAACGCCCTGTCCCTCAGTCTAATCAAGCAGCTGGGGAAAGCACAGTGTATGTGCCTGCCACTGAGTTCCTGGCCCCCAGAGGTGTACACTCACCTCTTTTACAAATAAGGGGCTTGTAATACAAGGGAAACTCTACCCTCCAGGAACTTACAGTCTGGGCAGAGAAAAGTCACATGCACATGGAAGGAAATAAAGAATACCAAGCAGAGAAGAGTCATGTATGATAACTCATGGCACAGGCAGTGGGAGCTTGAGCATGGAGAGCAAGGAGGAGTCCACAAGGGGAATGGCAGGAAGGGTGGGACAGAGATGGAGCTTCAGGGCTACTGACTCTCAGAACAGGTGACACACTTGCTCATCACCCAGAAAGGGAAGAAGGGAGGGGTGCAATGTCCTCCACTGCAGCCTTCCTCCTTGCACCACCTGGCAGTTTTAAGAAAGCAATGAAGCTACAACAGCTAAGTACAGTCAGAAGGAGGTTTGGGGTTAATGAGTTTTGTTAGCGTGTTACTTTAATTGCTGTCGTTATTTCTGTACATACGCCTAGAGGCTTGCAGTGAATGCATTTTATTATTAATATTAAGCATTTTGTACAGCACTTTCTGTTTGCAAAGTGCTTTACAATCATTAATTAGTTATTCCTCCTGACACCCCGGCGAGGTGATCCAGAGCTCATTCACTCCCCTGCTCGGTTATAAATGACAGCCCCAGTGTGTTGAGGTTAAATGACTTGGCCAAGGTCACCAGGACCATCAGGGAAGGCTAGGATTAGAATTCCCCTGTCTCCCTTTAGGCTGGATCTGATGCTGCTGGACCTAGCAGCTTCCCTGGACGGTGCACATAAATGTTACAATAAATAAATAAATGAAGCCAGAGGCAAGGGAAAAAAATGGTTCCTAGGCCTCATTGCTAAGGCCTGGGGACACTTCTGTCACAGTGGCAGGAACTAGAAATTGCTGAGAGAAGACCAAAACTGAGCTCCAGTAATAATATAACCTTCTGCATTCTCATAGCCAGTTTTAACGTGTCCTCCCGGAGACCCTTGCTGTCCTTGTTGCTGGCTCCTTTGAGTCTGTTTCCTTTGCACATTCCTTTTTAACTCTGAAGGCGTTTACTGCCCAAAAGGGCTCCAAGATGTATAATAACACAGTGATGCCTGGAAGAGCACCGTGTCAATTTAATTTGAACCAATTTGACAAGTCTGATACACTTTCAGGACAGCAGCCCACCACGAGACGACATAAGGCTTCTCTTGTTAGGTTCTTACCCTCGCTATTTCTCCTGGAGGTAATTACCTTAGATCAAGAGACCGATTGTAAACGCGTTATGTTTTGCTGACAACACAAAGCTGGGGAGAAGCAGGAACTCCAGTTTGAGAGGCAAGGAAAATGCAACACGATGTGCTTCCCTCTCTAAGCTGCTATGCGGCAAATGAAATTCAGTATTGACAAACGCACGTTAATGCCATTGGCCAGGGAGAGGGGCGGGCAGGAAAATGCTGACCTGCAGAAGGAACATTTTCTAAAGGTGTCCCTGGGCTGCACTGCTAGAAAATTCACAGAGGGAATCATTAGATTCAAGAGCCTCTGGTTGTCTTTGTATTTTAAAATAATGCATCAGCTTAGGAAAGAGTTGTTCCCCCCTAAGTTCTTTACCCACACCTGCCCACACCCACTCCCTGGTACTCCTGCCAACCGGAGTAGTTCCTAAGACATTTTCCAGGGATTAGTGATCAAAGCCGACATCCTGTAAGGAAATAGAGATTTTTCTAAAAACAGGAGTTACCCGATTTAAATCCCCTGATGGCAGATGTGTTTTTAAAAGAAAAACCTGTTTTGCCTCAATTCGGGCAGGACAAGCCCAGCCTTGATTTATGTTCATTACTCTCACAATCTTCCTTTGAGATGTGAGAGGGGATCATGATTGTTCAGTTTGTAGCACATTTCTCACTTCCATTTTGATGATATTTCCAGAAAAACGTCACAGGACCAGATGGGCCACCTTCCCCCGCAACTCCTAAAGTTAGCTTTACCTTCAAGAGAAGAAAACACCATCAATGGTTTAACACATACTTCACCAGATTTCCTTTTTTGGTTTGTTTACTTGTTTTAAACAATATTTCCATGTGCTAAGATGAGCATATACTAAGGATCTAGCGCCCAGCTCGGTGCTGAGTGGTTGGGTGGGTGCCATTTGATGGACACATGAGGAAGAGATTTCAGGCGGTGTTCTCAGGAAACTTACCATCGAGGTGAGAAAAAAACATGGATTTAAAAATAACAACTCTGTTCAGCTGTACTAGAGATGGGTCAGATGCCAATAGACAGATAATCAGTGTTACAGAAATTTGTGGGTCAGGGATAAGAATAAGCCACTGGGAACTCATGGGGGAAGAAAGGTTTGAGCAAGGCCTTGAAGAATGAGCATGACAGACCTACACACATGCACAAACAGACACCTGTGATTTTTTTTTCCTCCAATATAAAAGTCTCATTTGACCTAGAATTGCTGAACAGTGCTCTTTGAATTCTATTTCACTGTCCTCAAGGTTCTAGAAGCTGGAGAGAAATTTGTTTGGGGGTTTATCTGGCTCACAATGAAAGGCATCTCAGGACAGGCTCTGTATTTGTGGTTTCTACAGCATAGGACCTTATTCCTGGACACAAAGAACTTGTTTGTCTTCAGCGTGGCTTTTTTGTATGTGTATGTGAGGCGCTAAATCCCTGAGCCACCCCCCAACACACATACACAGGCTTCACCAGGCCCTCTGAGGCTCCCAGAGGAGGGCAAGCCCTGACTCTTCCTGGAGACTATCTGCTCCTTGTCAGAGCCCCTAGCCGAGGACAGCTTTTCCCAGTGACTTTTTTCCTGCCTCTGACACCCAGTGCACTGTGGATGCTTGATCAGGTTTTTCAGGGTGGTACTACCTCACTGCACAAATTCTTTCTGAGTGCCTGCTGTGTGCCAAAGTGTCATGTGTTGGAGTAGTCCCCAATAATAATATGGAAATAGTATCTAGGATTAATTAAACACCTATTGTTATTTGTGTGTAATGCACTATGCTAAATGCATTGCAGTATTACTTTATAAAATCCCCATAACAGCCCTATGAAGTAGGTATATCTATTATCCCCATGTTTAACATGAATAACCTCAGGCTTAGGGAGGTTGCTGAGAATTTCAAGATTATACAAATAGTAATTGACTGTGCTGAGGTTGAAGGCAGCTCTGGCAGACTCCAGGATTTCTGCCTATAATCTCTGCCTCCCTATACGAACACGAAGGAGATGACAATATAGAATACATGCAGAATTGCTGTTCTCCCATCTCCACTGTTTTTTTAACCCAGATGAAACATTGAAATTAAGAAAAAAAGACATGTGAACAGCCAAAACAGATACCAAAAATTCTACATACTGACGGACTTAACTTTGACTCATAGGAGAACCGTTCAGTGACTATTGATTCTTCTTTTATAAATAGCTATTATCTTTTGCTCCTATCACTTACCAAAGCAGCTTGGAAAGGGCAATCACTCTCATTTTAACCTATAAATAAAATAAAATTGGTAGATATTATAATTATATTCCCAAGGAAATAATGCTGGAAAGTGGAGAGGTCAGGATACAAATCTCAGTTTGCCTGAGTCCTTATCATGATTTTTGAGAGAGTTTTTTAAAAAATATTCTCTAAAATCAAATCCAAATGTTAATTTAATCTTCATGACTATAAAGAGGTCCTCGTACAAAGGAAATCATAAATTATGGATTGCTAGAACTACAAAGAGACTCTTTTAATCTAAGCTGTCATTTAATAGCTGAGCTCTAAGTCCTTGTAAAATACGAGCAATGTGGCAATTAAAAGATTCTGGACTTTTTGATGCAGTTATACCAACCTATACTAGAATCATTTATCTAGAATGTGACTATTCCATGGGCTAACTTTAACCAACTCAAAGTATAAAAATGTATAATCTCAAGATGCTTTTCATGCCTTAACAAACCAAACCATTGCTATCCTGGAATCCTAAATCAATAGGCTGATTTTAATCTCTTTATCTAGATATTTTTTAATTAATGTAGTTAAAAAATTAGTATCAATATAACACTCTTATGAACATAAATAAAAACAATCATCTGTGTCAACAGGCACAAAATGAAATTCCTGACAATAATGAAAGTGAAAAGAGCTGTGTAAAGTTTTGCAAAGTCTTGATTAGTGACTATGTCAAATATTAACTGATGAACACTTAAGTGCACATTTAGTAGTAAAGTTCATAGGGTATCGGGCAGATGGAAGTGGGCAGGAGAGCCTGGTTATAGTCACACCTAATGGGTGTGGTGTGCACAGTCTGGGGAATGGACATGCTTGAAGCTCTGACTGGGTCAGGGCAAAGGCAATATATAACATTTGTACCCCTGTAACCTAACATTTGTACCCCTGTAATATGCTGCAATAAAACAATACTTTGCAGGTGCTCAAACTCATAACTGTCTAACAGGGCTCTACACATTTGTTCCAGTGAAGAATTGATAAACCTGCATAGTTAATGCAGGTCTTACAAGTAAGCCTCTTGGATAGGCTAACTAACCCTCCTTGTCCATTTTCGAACATATTTTTACTATAAATCTGCCTTATATCCACCTTTTTTGAAAATTAAGTTCCTTCCGTAGAAAGTTTTGCTATGTCTTTACCTGGGGCCTCTCAAAATTCTCTCATAAGGAATTTCAAACCTCTGGGATCCATATTAATGATATATTTATGACAAAACTCACCAAGATTTAGTCTCACTGCTAGAATTTACCTATTCCTCTGTGGGTATGAGGGGCTTAAGACATCGCCATGCATGTTAGTGTAGCAATGCAGCACTGAAATCCCATGTCCGATTTGATCTAATTCAACATGTATTTGCTAAACATCTGCAGTGTATTCAGTGCAGTTTCTGTTTCTGAGGGCTACAAGAGAAAGTATAGAACATTTTTCTGGATAAATAAACAGCTTGTCTGAGGGTAAAAAAAAAAATATGTGTACACATGAAACAACAAATAATCAGATAAAGGAGAATGTGAAATTTAAAAACTTGGTAAAATGTATTATGGCAATAGTATAAATTAGAACATTGTGGAGGGGCAGGTCGGTGTTGAAAGCAGCATTGTCCTGAGATATTTAGTTGGCAAATGCAATAGTTAGGCCTTCATTGAAGAGAGAGGTGATCATCTAGAGATGGGTAAAGGGGGTTCTACTAAAAGAGAGCAAGGTCATGACCAGCATGTGGGCAAGACATGGCAAGATGTGAGACAAACTGATATGAGAGGCACATAACACAGAAAAGGCAAGGTCAAGTTGGAAAAGAAGCTTGGTGCAGTGGATAGATGGACACTCCCATGTACCACAATGCCCAGATCTGTAGGACATTCTCCTCACAGGAGAAACAATAGACTCCAATCACAACTCGGAGGGACTAGTCAGAGCTCCCTGCAGACTTTCGTTGAAATACTTCTCATCAAGAGGACATTTAAGAGGATGGAGAGGCACAAATGGCCAACAGAAGGACTTACTAAAATGAAAGCAGCAAAATAATTTCCCAGATTGCCACTGACTATTAAAATAGGCCATGAGGGTCCATGGTTATTACTTTAACAATTAGTTAATTTTAGCAGCAGGGAGGCCATTAGCTGACCAGCTCACTCTCCTGCCTGGCACATCCTAACCAATGAGCTGTGATTGGGCCATAAAAATGAGATTGTGCCCAGACAATAAAATATTTAGACTTTTAATATGTTGGTGGAAATGGACTACATTTTAAAGTGACAGAGCATCGTATTTTCTTCCATTTTATTTATTTTTCCAAGGCCAATGTGCCTAATCGTTGCCTCAGCAGTCTGAGAGAATGTATAATAAAAGCAACTGAGAGAGGAAAGACTTTAAGAAGAAACAAAAATTAATGTAATCAAAAAGGAAGTATAGAAATACATTCTGTGTGCTACATTGAGAAGACATATTTGGGTTTTGTTTCCGAAAAGGAAAACACTGTATGTGTAAAATCATAGCAAAAATATCAAATCAGCATAATTTACAAAGAGTATGGCAATTAATGATGTAAACATAACTTTATCTGTGAATAGTGTCTATGGCTAATGTCTTTATCCATGAATGGCACCCAAATGTAAGTAAATTGCCAATTTTAAATTAATTTGCGCAAAGCATGCAAATAACTTTAAAATTCTATACACAAGTTAATGTAAATATTGCAAAATCCCTGAAAATGAAACTGAGTATGCTTAACTTTCCGCACCAATAAAGCCAGCATTTATATTATTATTTTCTTTCAACCAAGATTTGTTTTTCTACACCAAATAAGTGTAACATACACTTGAGATCTAACCTGAGGTGAGCATCCTGAGTTTTATCGTTCTTGAAATCCCCCTAGCTGCATATATACCATAACCACCACCTAGTCAGAATTGGCCTCTCCTCGCCCATGGTCTATAGTTAAGCATCTTTTTTTTCATATTTTGTTGGGAATGTGCTTTCTTATTTTCTCTTTCTATCCTGATACTGTTCAAACATTACAACTTCTGAGGTCTATCCTGAAAAGTTGAGCTTCTTGCCTGTAAGTGCTCCTTATTTATAATGTTATGTTAAAGATTTGTACTATTCTAAGTAGGTTTGATTGTGGTCAGAAGCAGTGGGGCTGAAACCTGAGCAGCCCCTGGAGAACAAACATTGTTTGCATGGGGAAAAGGAGAGGGCAAAGCCCTATGGCCAAAAGATGAGATCCAAATGAGGGAGAGTTTAAGGAATACACTTGCCTCTTTGCCCAGGGCAAAGGCAACATAGAGAGGGAGGCTCAAATATAGAACCATAGCAGAGTAGTCCTCCAGAACAGCTGGTCTCACCATGAGACACCCCTGGTCAGGTCAGGTTCTTTAACTCTCTGGACTAGGTGGTCTCATTGCTTCAGGCTAGGGGACTGGTAGCCTTTGCATTGCTTTCACAGCATTACATCATCGTTGAGTTCTTGGCACATCAGTTAGCTTCAAATTTACCTAGTATTCATTATTTGTTTTAAAAAAAAGAAAGAAAAAAAGGAAAGAAAGAAAGAGGATAATTTACATTTCCTGATTCAAAGCCAGGGCCTATTCATCATCGCCTGCACATCGCTTATAAAGATGATAAATGAATGTATAGTAACTGAACCCTAAAACAAAATAATGTGTTTTTCTTAAAGCTTCGCAGGACTGCATTTCCGTTGTAATTAGTTTACTTTTTTTAATCAAATTCTGTTAAGCGGCAGTCAAAATGAAAGCTGATTTTCAGACTGCTAAAAGCAGCCCAAAAAAAGAGAAGAGGAGAAAAAATAAGGATATTTTTCACATTTATTGGTGCAAAAATACCAAGGTAATTGCATAACTTTCAGAAATGGCAAGAATATAATCGTGTATTGCTGATTGTATGATACTCAAATATAGGAAGCTACAAGAGAACCTACTGTTTGATAAAAAAACAAGTTAAACTGCTATTCCATCTTTGGAAATTTATATTGAGAAAAACATCTTTAAATTTCTATGGTTTTACATTGCCCGTAGGATGAATCCCAAGTCCCAAAATATTATCATTTTAAGTCCCATACTTCATCCTAAACTTAATTTCAGTTTTCTCAAAAGGATCTAGTCATTCTGTCCCATGGTTCCCTATTTTTGAGCCTCATATCATTCTCTCAGCCTCAGTGATATTATCACTGAACTCTTCACCTGCCTGACTTCTGTGCATATTCCATCATCCTAGTTTGCTTTCCACCTCTATAAAGCCTTCCCTGGCATCTCCACTGACAGCAGTAGCTGGTTATAGATAGATCTGGATAGATATCTAGTTGTAGATAGAGCTAGTGCAGATAGATCTTTCTATCCCATTTCACTGAACACATGTACACTCATGACATTGTATTGTTTTCATTTTTCGAATGATTATTAATTTCTCTCTGACTAGATTTCATAACCCTTGAGAGTAGAAGTCATGTCAAATAAAAGACTGTTTTTCATTGACTCACAATATTGGGAGAAAGAAAGTGAGTCCTTGTTGGACTACAGCAGCAGTGGTACTAAAGGGTGTGATCTCTCATCCATTGCATCCCGGCTTCAGAGGACCAGAGAGACTGGGCTAGCTTCATTGCCTTCCTCTTACTGCGAAAGAGAGCAAAGGAGAGGACTCCGTGTCCACTGTCATATCTGATACATGTGGGGTGTCTTTCCTACACAGCACCTGCACTTGGAATATGTTAGGGGTATTTGAAAATCTCCATGAGTAACCCTGTCCCTTTGTTTTTCACATTATTTCTTGCCACTGTTCTCTGAGGTTCCCCAGCCACCATCCCCAAACACATATTTATTCACATGGAATGTCCCAGAACCATTACGCTCTTAACCTACCTCTTCATTGACCATTTTGTTTGGACCTGTTCACAGATCTTGCCTTTATCTCCAGGGAAGCATTTGTTGATGGCCTAAACTCTAGGCCTTAGAACATAGCACCTTCCAGAAATGAGTCA